TTCTTCTGCAAACCCAGATCTGGAGTGGACGCTCGATAAACAAAATTTTCTGTAAGGACCAGATTGCGGTTCTCTTCTGTAGGGCTGACTCGGCGAAGCTCTGTTTGTTCTGCGACCAGCATGTGCACTCCGCGAACCTGCTTTCGCGGAAGCACTTGTGGTCTCAGATCTGCGATAACTGCATTCTGAGCCGGTTGCGGTTCGGTGCGTGACGGATAATTTGGTTCTGTGTCAGGAGTGTGATTGGGATGCGCACGGGAGCTGTTCTGTGTCTTCAGCGCATGAGTGGACTCCGGTTGAGGGGTTCTCTGGATGTCCTTCGGTTCTGGAGCTGGCGTCTGCCTGGGGGCTTGATGATAGGACTTCCTTGGGTTGAAAATAATATGGGCCACGATTCATGTTATGGGGTTACAAGATTCGGAGTTTGTAGAGCAAAATCTAATCCCTGATTCTTGTGTTGTAGATGGATCTGGGTTTGATAGAGGAAGACCCAGATCTGGGTTTGATAGAGGAAGACCCAGATTTGGGTTTGCAGTAGTGAAAAGGAAAGGACTTCCAGTGACGAAGAAGAAGGCACAAGCTCTGGGTCTTTCCCTGGGTTTTCTCGAACAGCGATTCGACAAAATAGCATCATCGGAAAGGACTTTCGACGACGAAGAAGAAGGCACGAGCTCTGGGTCTTTCTCTGGGTTTTCTCGAACAACGATTCGACAAAACAGCATCATCGGAAAGGACTTCCAGCGATGAAGAAGAAGGCACGAGCTTTGGTACAAGATTCGGAGTTTGCAGAGTATAATTTAAGGACTTCCTCCTTGATTCGGGCGTTGCAAACAGATCTGGGTTTATCGAGCGTCCACTCCAGATCTGGGTTTGCAGAAGGAAGGGAAAGGAAAGGTGAAGGAGAGACAGTGAAAGGGGAAGAAGAAAATTTTTTTTTTCTGACGTGGATGCAAAAAAACAATATTATTATTGTTAAATTAAATAAAAATGCCAACTCAGAGAAAAAATAGTTAATTATGTATTTTTTTTCCATGTCATTGATTAAGAAAAAAAAAAGAATTGATTTGTTGGCATTTTAACGTGCCACCTGGCGTTTAACTGACGGAAGGACCATTTTGGTACCAAAAATGAAAGTTCAAGGATAATTTTGGTACTTTTTAAAGCTGAGGGATAATTTTGGTACCAAAGTGATAAGTTGAGGGACCAAAATGGTACTTAAACCGTATTGTTAAGGTACCTCCACCAGAACCATCAAAAACTGCCAAGGAAGAGTGATGATGCTGCAGAAAGATTGATGCTTAGAGATGAATTGTTAGGAAAAGTAGCAGCTTCTGGGACAAGGATCATTTCATTTGTGTTGTTATATCTATCTATACCTTACTGTTCATTTCTGATTCTTTGTTTTCTGGCTTCACTCATGAGTATCTGTGTATTGTGATACTCAACAATTTTGAACTGGGAAGATTGACGAATGAATAGTAACTTTACCCAAATTGAACTAACCATCGTACCAGCTACATCAATAAATAACTTTTCTCTTTGAAATTTGAATCATGAATTATTCCATCTGCCATTGCCTACTAAAAAAAAAAAGAAGGAATTATCCCATCTGGTAACATAGGGTGTCATTGTTGTTTCTAGTAATGTCTATAGATGATAAGGACACATGGGACAAGTTGACGTGGATCCGAGCCATCGAGTCTGACCATACGGTACAATGCAAGATTGTCAGGCTTACGTTCAAACCATAGTGATTAACATGTGCCACAATGTATTCTCTTTGCCCTCCATTTGGGCAATTCAACAAGGCAAATGATGTCTTTCCCGCACCATTCTCGGTGAGAGCATTGCTTGTTGGCCCAAACGCTTTAACTACCAGGGGAGAGAATAATAAGTGCGGCTCCTTTACCCCTCGTCTTTGAATAGGTCCTTCCTTTCCTACTCTTGGTATTTATATTGCCTTTTTTTTTTTATTGGAGAAAAAGAAAAAACTTTTGTGGGCTGGCCTTTTATATAGGTGGGTTGCAGCAATAAGTATGGGCTAGTCTGAAATCATTCCATCGTTTTTTTAAGGTTTAAATACCATTTAGTCCCTCAACGTTCTATTTTAGCACCAAAATTATCTTTTAACTTTAAAAAATATTAAAATTATCCCTAACGTTTTATTTTTAATACCAAAATAATCCTTCCGCCAGTTGAATGTACAGCTGGCATGTTAATTTACATATGAATCAATTTTATTTTTTAACTAATGACATGGGAAAAAAAAAGAGCATAGTTGATAATTTTTTTATGAGTTAGTATTTTTATTTAATTTAAAAATAATGACTTCATTTTTTTTCATCCACGTCAGAAAAAAAAATGATCTTCTTCTTCCTCTTTCACTTTCTCTCTCCTTTACCTTTCCTTTTCCCTTACCTCTGCAAACCCAGCCTCTGGGTTTTCTCAAATGGCGGAGAAGCAAGCGATGATCGTCGCTGTTGATGACAGTGAGCACAGCCCCTACACGCTGGAGTGGACGCTCGATCACTTCTTCGTTCCTCTAGGTGACAGTGCCTTGTTCAAGCTTGTCATCGTTCATGCCAAACCTTCGGCTACTTCTTTCGTCTGCCTCACCAAACCTAGTAGCTACACATGTGGTTTTCAGTACTTTTACTTGCTGATTCTTTTTAATTTTTTCTCCTTTTTGCTTAATTTTGTTTGGTTTTGATTGTAGCAGCTGTGGAGATTTTTTCATTATGGGTGTTCTCAAACGCAGATCTGGGTTTTCTCTCTCAAACTTCATCTTCTTCCTCTTTTCCTCCTTCCTTTCCCTGCTTATCATTCTTTTTTCTTCTTCTTATTCTTTCTCTTTCTCTTCTCCCTTCTTGTTTCTCCCCAGATCTGGGTTTTTCTCAAACCCAGATCTGGGTTTGATAAAACCCAAGTTTGGGTTTGAGAATCAACCCAGTCTCTTATGATGGAGAATGATGGGCAAGTATTTGCAATTAATATTGGTTTCGAGCAAGCAATCGTGACAATTTTCAAGGTTGATATCCTAACATATCTCGCCTTCTGCTTCTCAGGAAATCGATTATAATCAAGCCAATCTCTTCCACTAAGATTAGGAAGGTTGTGTCCCCGAAGATACTCTGAATCGTTTGTTTTCTGAAGATACTCTAAATCGTTTGCAAACTCAGCACAATTTTTATGGAGGCTGTACTCATCACATTCAACACATTGATAGCTAGGCCCTGATAAGATGGGATTTCTACAGCTTTTGCAAACGAGTTTCTGTTCGTTCTTGGTCTCCCTGAAGAAGAGAAACTCATGCAAGTGCCATTTTTTTTTTTTGGTTTAATACCCAATTTGGTCCCTAAACTTTCATTTCGAAACTTAGTTCATCCTTTAACTTCAGAAGGGACCCAAATCATCCTTTAAACTTTATTTTTTTAGAACCCAAATGGTCCTTCCGTCACAGAAGTGCCTAGCTGGCACGTTAACTTGCCAAGAATTAATACTTTTATTTTAAAAAAATTACGTGGAAAAAAAATAATGATCTAATCATTTTAATAAATTTAATAGAAAAAATATACAATTAAAATATTAACCCTCCCTTATCTTGAACCCCCATCCCTCCCTGCCATTTTTGTTATTTCCTTGTTCTCCAGCACCGACATCAACACCAATCCAGCGGCATCATTCTTTCCCTTTCTCATTTTTCTCTCTACTCTCCACCCTCCTCTTTCCTCCTTCCTCATTTC